GGCCCTGCCCGCGCCCGCGCCCGCGCCCGCGCTCGCGCCCGCCAGCGACGGCGATCAGGAGTACGTGAGCCCCGACTGGGCCGGCGCGCCCGAGCCCGCCGCGCCGCCCGCCGAGATCCCCTACGAGGAGCTGTGGGCGCACCAGGCGCCCGAGAGCGTCGCCGAGGCCCGCGCCCGGCGGTCGCCAGGGCCCGACCTCATCTCCTTTGCGGCAGCCGGGCCACCGCGGCGCGAGCCCGAGGCGCCACCACCTCCCGTCCCTCCCAAATCCGAGGCGGTGAGTGGGCGCGCTGGGGCTCCATCCTCAGGGGAAAATGGCCCGCTGTTAGGGGGTTCGTAAAGCCCCGGCGCCTGGTACGTCTGGCAGCCGTTGGCAGAGGAAGCGGAGAGGGAAAAGGGCAAACACACAAGAGCACTTATAGGGGTACCCGTGGTGGTGGCATAGGCAGTTCTGAGGGCACAGAATTTGGGGTGAGCGCAGATCCAGCGTTACCCACAGTTCCACAGAAGTCCTGTAAGTTGTCCAGTGAAAAGAAGGTTCCGTGGTAAGTTTAGAAGATGGTGAGTGTGATTCCAGCGCTCCCTCTCCTATTTTGGAGTTAGAGCCCTGTTTCTTAAAGGCGCTGAGAAATCCTGCACTAAGGACACCTGCCCATATTTAAATTTTTTTTTTCTCAAAGCATTTTTGTTGTCGGGCACCGGTGGCTCACGCTTGTAATTCTAGCTACTCAGGAGATCGGATTAGGAGGATCACAGTTTGAAACCAGTTCGGGAGACCCTATCTAGAAAAAAGCCCATCACATAAAAGGGATGGAGTGGCTCAAGGTGTAGGCCCTGAGTTAAAGCCCCAGTACCACACACACACACACACACACACACACACACACACAACGAAAAGAAAAAAAAAGCATTTTTATTGCCACACATTAGTTTACTGGAATTCATTGTGGCATTTCTGAATGTGCTTACATCGTCCATTGATTAGGTTCGCACCTCCACCATCTCCCCCCATCCTCTCTACCCACCAAGAAGCTGTTTATCTTTAACTGTTATATTCATCCACGGGACACTTCCCCTCCCCACAACACTATTAACACCCCAGGGAGCCCATTTTGGGGTCCTTGACCTATAAGGAAGGGATCCAGGTAACAAATCCTGTTCCTTCTTTGTCCCCTCTGTCACACCGTTTTCCTCTTCTTTCCTTTTCCTTGGGGGAAGGAAGATTCCTGCTTGTCTGATTGTTTTTGATCCACTTAATTCATAATGGATTTCCAGGGGAATAGGAGACTGTGTTGTAGGCAGAGTGCAGTGGGTGAAACAAGCTGGAGAAGGGGTGGGGAGTGGTTGGGTGGACAGTTAGGGTGTCAGGCCAGGCAACCTCCTAGCAAAGTGGGGCAAAGTGGCTGTCACAGGGACCTCTTGCCTAGCTGCTTAGGACGGGAAGCAGCTGGACAAGAGCTGCCCTGGACAGTGGAGTCATGGCCCTCTGCCTGCAGGTGAAGGAGGAGTGCCGCCTGCTCAACGCCCCTCCAGTGCCTCCCCGGGGTGGTAGTGGTGGTGGCATGCTCTCAGGCAGCCCCCCTGTGCCACCCCGCTTCCCCAAGCTGCAGCCTGTCCACTCTCCCAGCTCTAGCCTCTCCTACTACTCCTCTGGGCTTCAGGATGGGTGAGTCTCTCCCTGGTCCTGGTTGTGCAGTTGCACCAGGGGGTGGGTGTTGAAGATGAGGGTTCCAGTCTGGAAGGTCCCCAGGGTGCAGACCCTGTGCGGTCCTTCCTTACCTGTCCTGACTTCCTAAGGGATGAGGATGGAGTGGGAGCCTGGCACTGGCTCCGTCTGCACTGGGACTGGCTGTAGAACAGGCAGCTCTTACTGAATTTAGGGTAGCTTGTTTCCTCCTTGTGTTTTCTGACCTGGATCAGGGAGGCAGGAAGAAAGAACAGGGCTGCCATAGAGCATCTCGGGCCTCGGAGCTGGCATACTGGCTAGTATTGTCGAGACAAGAGTGGTGGCCTCCTGGTCCTGACTGAGCCATGCGGTGCTGCTCTGTCCCTTCCCAGGCTCTGCCTTACCTGTCTGTCTGTCTGTTCACAGGGCAGGTTCCCGCAGTGGCAGTGGGTCCCCGTCACCAGACGCCTACTCCCTCTACTGCTATCCCTGCACCTGGGGAGACTGTAAGGCAGTTGAGTCCTCTAGCCGCCCGCCGCCGGGACCCCTGCCCTCCACAACCACACAGCCCAGCCAGGCCTCTCGGGCCCTTGCAGAGACCCTGAGCGGTCGGGCCACTTCCCTCTTGGGGGCTGACACCCCAGTCAAGACCTACCATGGCTGCCCGCCCCTGTTCAAGCCCTCCCACCCCCAGAAACGCTTTGCTCCCTTTGGGGCTCTGAACCCCTTCTCTGGGCCTGCCTACCCTTCTGGCTGTCCTGTGGCCTCCTCTTCTGGGCCCCCACCCTCCTCAGGTGCCCTGGCTACCTCTAGCCCCACACATTCCCCAGGCCCGGCCTTGCAGGCCCAGGCCTGCTCAGCTGCTCCACCCTCCTCTCCATTGTCCTCTGAGTGGCAGGAGCCAGCACTGGAACCCTTGGACCCCTCTGAGCTGGGGCAGGCCAGTTCTCCTGAACCAGAGCTGCTGCGCTGTCAGGAGCCCAGAGCCATGGGGGCGCCTGGGCCTGGACCCCACCTTTCACCACTTGGTCCCCCCAAGGCCTTTGAGCCCGAAGGTTTGGTGCTGAGGCAGGTCCCCACTCCTCTGTCACCAGCTGCCCTGCAGGGGCCTGAGGCAGGAGGAGGCCGAGTCTTTCTCACCCAAGGGCCTCCTGCTAGTCCCCGGGACACCTGCTCCTGGCAGCCCCCCGCGGACCTGTCTGCACTCTCCCTGGAGGAGGTCTCTCGCAGTCTGCGCTTCATCGGGCTCTCAGAGGATGTGGTGAGCTTCTTTGCCCGGGAGCGCATAGATGGCAGCATCTTTGTGCAGCTCAGTGAGGACATCCTGGCCGACGACTTCCACCTCACCAAGCTGCAGGTCAAGAAGATCATGCAGTTCATCAAGGGCTGGCGGCCCAAGATCTGAACCTCCCAGCCTGCAGCTGCCCAACTGGCACAGCCGCGGCGCCGCCTCAGAGGCCCCGGGGACCATGGGTGGGTCTGCTGGGGGCAGCACTCTGAGAGTGGCAGGTCCTGCTTGTGGGAGGACCTGCTGAGACTGAGGCTCAGCAGCCACTCAGATCCAGAGGAGACAAGCTGGGAAATGTGGTCCTCCGGGCTTGGACCCTGCAGGGGGACGTCTTGCCTTCAAGCAGAACACCTGAGGAGGGGCTGGAGGCACGGCTGTGCACCTGGCCTGGTCAGGGGTTTGCTGCGATTCCCACAGAGGGGTGGTGGTGTGTATGTCTAAAGGTGTCCTTTGGGGTGGCAGAACACCTTCCTGTCTCACTGAAGCCCTTCACAGACACCCACATTTCTCAACCCTGTAGGCTCAGGTTAGTGACAGGGAAGATGGCCTGTGACTTACGCACAAATTCCCCAAGTGCCCTCTCTTTTGTGCTCTGTGGGCTTTGGGCCTGCAGCTGCCCAGGGTCAGGGGTACTGTTCGTGTCAGAGGGATACCCTTCCTTCCTTCTGCTCCCCCGTGATTAGGTGCCTGGACCCTAGCACAGCTGAATCGATTGTAGACCCTTGTCACACAGCACCTTAGAGGATCCACCTCTGGGCTCTGGTTGGTGGGTGGTGACTTAGGAAGCACAGCTTTTCTGTTGGCCTAGAGAGTTAGGAAGGCGGGGGCTCCCCAGCGTCACCAGGGCCTAGCTTCTGCTCAGACTTTGTCACATCTAGCCATCTGACCTGTCCAGTGGGGTGCAGTCTCCGAAGATAGGGAGAGCAGGTAGATTTAGGTCACCTGCTCCTTATTCTAGAAGCAAACAGTGGTCAGTCGCCCTCGCCGAGCCAGTCTCCTGGCCTCAGCATTTGGCTGTGATGGACATTTGATGGCCTTGGATTCTGGCACTGGCACAGGAGGACGCAGGTGGGAGACGGGAGGGAAAACCACCTTTGGATCCTGAGCGCAGTCCTGCAAAGTTCCTTGTTTCAGAGCAGATCTGTGTGTCCTTCAGTCCTGAACACGGCATCCTGGGTGGCACCCGGAGCTCTGGTCATTGTGTATAAGCCCCACCCCACCAATCTTCCCCAAGGCCCCAAACTAGAGCCACACCACCTCTCATGCCCACCGGTGTAGGGCCCAGAGGTGGCAGCCTTCTCTTTTGCCTTACCTGGTCTGCCTAGATATTTATTTCCCGTGGTTTTCTTATGAGTTGCTAAGCCTTGCTTGTGCCTGGGCCCCAATCAGGGAGGGAATCAAGAGTCGAGCACAAAAACTGATGCTGCGACATTTGTTTTTCTCACTGGTCATTTAATGAATCTCCAAGGACTAGGGAAATAAACACTAGGCCACTGAAGAATCATGCGAGTGGAATTCTGGATGTCACCAGCATTCATTTGGAGGGCTATGAGGACCAGGGGCACAGTATGTATGTCTCCAAGAAGGAGAGGGCTTTGGGATGGTCTCCGGAGGCAGATGGCAGCAGCCCTCCCTTGTGAGAGCCCTCACTAGCCCCAACCCTAGAAGTCAAAGCTCAGTGCCACCAGCTGGGGTGCAGGCTTAACTTATGCACTGTACATGCCTGACTTGAGGCACTTCGGTTCCCCACATGTAGACACCTGGTCATGGCCATGGTGCAGAAATCAGATCTCTGCCTTCTCCTATCTGAAAAGCCCAACTCCAGAGCAAAGCCTTCTGCCTGCCAGTCCCAAACCAGAGCTGGGGCCAGGGAGATACCTGAAAGTACCTGCAAGTGGAGCAGAGGCATGAGTCACGGGTACTATCTGAATTTGCCATGCAAAGTGTGATGGGACTTGAATTAGGATTCCACACACACTCGGTGACTCAATGTGGATCTTTCTGCCAGACCCAGTTAGGAGCCCAGTGCTGTTTTACTGGATGGGCACTGCTTCTGTCAGAACAAGTAGGAGAACTCTGCACACCAGGGGCTGGGGGTTGGGAAAGGCTGAGGTCACAGCAGAGTGTGGGGGTTAGGGCTGGATCCCAGGCTTTGCATGCTTCTCACCGCCTCGTCCCCTCATCACCTTCATCCCCTCATTCTGGCACAGGAACCCTTCCTTCATCTCCTTGCTCTGGGGCAGGCACGATGTGCTGGATTCCAGAGCATCAGAGAAATGTTACCCCTCTGCTTAACACCACTGTTCCCACGAACATCCCGAGAAGCACACATGCACAAGGACCGCCAAGAAAACATCGGGTACAGTGGAGCAGTGAGGAAAGCCAGTTTGGGGAGAAATGTCTTTCAGCCCTGTCTCTTGGTTCTTACTGCTCTCAGTCACCAGGCCCACTTCCCCGTGGTAAGCAGTCCAGCCAAAGCACATGAGCCATTACGCTTAAGAGGGCACAGAAAGTCCCACTTTCTGGCATCACAGTCTCTCTGAAGCTGCTGCTTACAGCTTTCCCAACATGTTCCTCCAAGGGCCCGGGGCTTTACTCCTGAAGGAGGGACTTAAACCAGAAGGGCAAAGATGGAAGAGAACGAACTAAGCGGCAGACGATAGTTTTGTTTTTATTGTTAATCCTGTGTTTGGCTGGGTGTTTTCCTGGGAGGAACAGGCAACAGAGCCAGGTGGCTCTTAGCTGCTGCTTTGGGCCTTGAGGCTTATTAAAGGAGCAACAGTGGGTTCTACCTTCCATCATGAAGTACAAACTAATTCACAGTCAGACTTCACCAAAAGGGAGAAATGGTCAGGGCTGAAGGCACTTTAGTCAAGTAGCAAACCCAAGGCCAGACTTGGTCTTCCTCTGCTTCCTGATACACATAGGCAGCACTGAGGGAGAAGCAGCGCTGCCAGCAGCGGGTTAGTGCATGGATGGGGCAGTGTGCGAGGGCCTATTCACTGGTAGAACTTCTTGCTGGAGCTGTTCGCATGGTCAAGGAGCAGCTGGCATGGGGTGAACTGTTTTCCATAGACAGCCTCATACTTCCGGAGCCGGTCCACTACCTTCTGAGCTCCATACAGGTCCACAAAGCGGAAGGGTCCTGAGTGGAGAAACAGGACTTTGTTGAAGAAGACAGCAACAAGAGCACTAGGACAAAGCAAGCTGACCTCCCAGCCCGCAGACCAACCTCCAAGACAAGGTGGGAAGCCGAGCCCAAAGACTGCTCCGATGTCTCCCTCTGCAGGTGTGGCCAAGATCCCTTCTTGCAGGCACAGGACTGCCTCATTCACAAATCTTGTCACCACGCGGTACTGAATGTCTTCATCAGAGGAGCTGCCAACAGGAAGGGAAACTTAGCAAGGGGGAGAACAGGGAAGCAAGTGGGCTGAGGTGCAGGAATGTGGCGAGGTAGGGCTGGGGAGCCCCACGGCCCTTCTCCCGGTTTGCAGAGAAGAGGTAGCCCAGGAGGCCCAGCATTTCCCTTGGACTCGGGGTGTTACTTGTTCTAAGTGACGTGAAGCTGAACACCCACAGCAAGGCCTAGCACAGAATTTTTCTTTTTTCTGCAGCACTGGGGCTTGAACTCAGGGCCTCATGCTTGCTAGGCAGGGGCTCTACTGCTTGAGCCCCTCTGACAGCCGTAAAGGCCCAGTATTTCTTGACGTTACCAACTGCTAGGGGCACACAAATGGCCATAAAGAGCTGGGAGAGAGAAGAGGCCGGGATAATGTGTCCTCCAGCTGCTCTCTGGGAAGTTCACAGGCCCTGCCCTCGTTCACCTTGATGCCTGCAAGACGAAGGGCAAAGCAAGGGATTCAGGATCAGAAAGAAAATGGAAAGAAGCTGGGCGCTGGTGGCTCATGCCTGTAATCCTAGCTGCTCAGGGGGCAGAGATCAGAAAGATCATGGCTCAAAGCCAGCTTGGGCAAATAGTTCATGAGACCCTATCTGGAAAACACCCTTCACAAAAACAGGGGTGGTGGAGTGGCTCAAGGTGAAGGCCCTGAGTTCAAGCCCCAGTACCACAAAAAAAAAAAGAGGCCAGGGAGTTTGGGCTTCCACAAAAACATCCATTTCCATACCACTGGCTACTCAAATTGACTTACACTTCAGGCTTAACAGGCAGCTTCAGACTTGCCAAGATACTGTCCATGTCAGAATTCAAACTCTTGTTCTTTGAGCCCTCCTGATAGATGTAAAAGCCCTTCCCAGACTTGCGACCTAAAAGAAGCAAGAAGAAGCAGAGTTACTACTTGTTCTTTCAGTCCTGGTGAAGTCCTGTCTCCACTGGCTGCTGTGAAGCTCTCGTCTCTGCTCTGCACTCCTGAGCACGTGGATCTAGTCAACTTGAGCAGGTTAGTCCTCATCAGAAGAGATGGCAGAGAACGAATGAAGCTCTTGTGCTTTCGGTGCTTGGGAGTCTGAGTGTCTGGATGAGAAAGGTCACTCTGGTGAATTTTAATGTCCACACAGGCAACACCAGGCCCTAAGAGTGATTTTGCTGCTATTCTGCTGTGAGAGAAAGCCATCTCTCTGTGCCTTCAATTGTGTGCTCTGAATGGAAGTGCAGGCAACATGGTAAAGTTGGGGGTATAGAACTTGTCTTTACAGTTTCAGGACTTAGGCAGGATGGACAGGCTTGTCTATATGGCATAATTTGAACTTGGTAATGGTAGAAGCTCAAAAGCCTAGAGCTCTGCCTTTGTCTATAAACCATAGGCCTAGTCTGAGGATGGTCTTATGAAACCTTATTGTTTTTGTTTTGAGACAAGATCTTGCTGTATAGTCCAGGCTGGCCTCAAACTTATATTCCTCATTCCTTGGCCTCCCAAATGCTGTGATTACAGTCATGTACCACCATGCTTGGCTGAAATCCTTTTTGAAACTCTCTGTTACTAGGGCTCTGTGTTTAGGAAGCACTCTGGTTCTAGGAAGCTGCTCAGAACTTTGTAATAACGGTGCTTAGTCATGTCTTCTTGTGGCTACTCACCCAGAAAGCCCTTGGACACCATCTGTTTTAGCAGTTCTACATTTCCACCTCCAAACCGCTCCCCAAAGGCTTTGCCTAGGTCTTCTGCCACGTGTTGTGCTACGTCCACACCAACTTCATCTGCTAGGGTTGCAGCACCCACAGGAAAGCCAAAGCCTGTGGTCAGGGAATCCAGCTTCTTAGGGTCAACTCCTTCCTGAACAGGAAGTGAAGCAGGGGCTTCAGGGAAAGGCCATCAGACACCCCCCATCCCAGAATGGCTCCCATACTAGCCCCCAGACATTTCTCTTCTGGGCACCCCCTGGCCAGGCCCAGCACAAATGGAAGGTCTGAAACTTCTTTATAGCACTCTGAGGAAGTTAGAATGAACAAATTATTCATTTCCTTCTTGTTTACAACTCTGAATCTCAGTACTAAGGAGATGCCCTGGCTGACAGGGCTGAGAGCACCATGTCTGAAAGAAGAGCCACCAGTAGCCAAGGAACAGTGCTGCAGAGTGCTAGGATCGCTGCGTCAGGGAAAGTGCCCAGCAAGGAGGATCCCCCTTCTTTCCCACAAGGGAATGGCCTGGATGGCCACAGGAAGGGTCTGCATGGCAGAGCAGATGCAGCACCAGTCAGACCAAGTGGGCTCTATCCTGGAAGGTCCCTACCCAAGAGGGGATATGCAGAGCAGCCTATGGAGCTTGCTGGGGCTCAGGCTCACTGAGCAGTGAGGCGCTAAGAGAGAAGAGTTAACATTTTGCCAGCCAGTGCAGCTCCAGCTCCATGACTTCCCATTCCTGTGCAGGGAGGGAGGCACACAAGGGCCCTTCTCGAAGGAGTTAATTGTATTTGGTGGAGGCTTAGTTCTTCCTTGTCTTGATGCCTTCAGTTTGGAGGACCAAGTAAAAGATTCAAAGAGGCCTCATACTCCACACAGCAACACCCACCTGGAGGATTCGTATGACTTCAGACATCATGGGTGCAAGACACCGGGTGGTGTAGAAGCCAGGTCCATCCTGCCAATGGAGAGAAGATGAGCTCACTGGCTCCTTTGGCTGGTTCTACCTGTGTCTGAAACCAGCTTCCTTTTCTAGACGTCATTTCAAAGTTTGAGATGATTTAATAGCTTGATCAGAATGCATTATATTAAAATGCAGAGGAAGCCTTCCTGGCTAGTCTGGCACAGCAGACAAGCTCATTATCACCTCCAAGGTCTGGAAATGGTGAGGAGAACCCTGCCATATCCCCAACGCTCCCCATGCCCACTTCAACACAGTGGTAGAGTCAATACCAGTGCCCAACCTAGAGATGGCCAATGGACAGCATCATCAGAAGTTGATGTATTTGCCCCAGAAGAGTTATAAATGAGCCAGGAGGTTCAAGGAGTCTCTTTAGAACGTTTTGAAATCCATTGCTGTTGTGGCTCTTACCTTAACCACAATGATGACCTTCCCCTGCTTGAGACCAATGGCTACAGCGGAAGCAGTCGTGTCCTTGGATGTCTTCTCTGTTGTGATGATTTCCAGCAGCTGCATCTTGTCCACAGGAGAGAAGTAGTGCATGCCAATCACCTGGCAAGGGGAGCCAAAACCGGCAGATTTATGAATGCTCATGAAGGAACCTAATACCTTCATCTCTTTTGCTAGGAAACAATGCTGAGAAAGGCAGCCGGGACACAGCAGCACTGCTGACACAGTCTAGTGTCTAGTGGTTTGGCTCTGTGGATCTCTGATGACAAGCTCAGTATGTTCAGGGTGAATCCTCTTCCATTTGCTTCTAAGGACACTGGACCCTGCTAACAATCAGTGCCAAAGTCACAGCTAAAGGACAAACTAGATTTATTGGGGAAGAACAAATGAAGATTCTATTCATAGTAATGATGCTGATGGTTTAGGTGAAACAGTCCACTTTTTTGGGGGAAGGGAAAGGCAGGAGAATTAGTTAATGTGCTGGCTGACAGAGCTGTATTGGCATCTTGCACAGATTGGTCTCACCAACAGAATACCAGGTTGAAAGAACACTTTCCAGCACTCAAATGCACTGAAGACAGCAAATTACAGATTCTCACAGTGTGACTCCTGGACCCGTCAGCGTCAGCATCACCTGGGAATGAGGGAACTATGGATTCTTAGGCCCACCCAGCCCACATACCATTGGGTAATACACAGACCAACTAAGTGTTATATTTAACTTACCAACCCAAAGGTGGCTGTAACCCCTCCACTGTACTTTTACCTAGGTCTGAAGCATTTAGCACCTGGTTCAGACTCAGTAACCCCAAGCAACAAGAACTTGCCTTTGCTGATGTTTAACTTCTACACAATAAAATGTCTCACTGTGCCCAGTGAGTTCTGATACACCCTGTGACCACTACCCCAAGCACAATGCATTAGATTGCTCAGAAAGTTGTGCCGAAGGTGACCACTCAACCTGGACTTTTGGACTTCCCTAGTTATAGCACCAAATGTCCTGTGTTCTAGGAGAGCCCTCAATCCAGGGGAAACTGAGACAGCTGGTCCTCCTACTCATGTCCCGTGTCCTTACTTTGATATGAACAACCTAGGGCACAGGAGGCTTAGGCTGCAGTGTGCTGCTTGCTGAACTGCATGAGGACCAGGGGAGCTTGGATCAAATCAACACTGGATTCTCCTGTGCTGAGCAGTGTGACAGGGAAGACTGTCCTACAGTCTGAAAATAGCCTTTATACTGTTTTGGTTCTTCCCTCAGGGTCTGACTACAGGCTGCCACCTCTCCCTTTGACCTTTCTGCTGTCATCCCTGAACTGACCCTATTACCTCGACTCTGCTGTGAGCTAGGAGACTAGATTATCCCGTAGTAGCTAGCGTAGAGTAGGAAGAAACAGGCTTGAGTGTTTTTGGTCTAGAATGATTAGCAATTTCAGCTGCTTAAAGTTCGTTTTTCATTTTCTGCCTACGTCTGGCTGGTTCTGGTTAGCTGAGGCAACTTGTCTTCTCCAGATAAGTGAGGTGTTTTATTTCTCCTTATGATTGCACTTTCCTTCAATTACTCTGACTGAGCAAAGGCAGCTTTCTGGGCATCATTCCAAATGCTCACTGGAAATGCTTCTGCACCCAGCCCTTGCATGCTGTGGTTGCAGTAGCAGGTCTAAGCGAGTCCCTAGGTTCCTCACCCCCGATCCTCTACTCCTGGATCTGGAGTTGGAACTTTACCCATTCTAGACAGCCACCAGACTCTGCTCTGAGCCGAACAGATATTCTGAAGCAGCTCTTCTTGTTTTAGGCCCTCTCCTTTAATAATACGTAATTGTAGGATAAAGGTAGGTTTTATACTGTGCACTTGAAAAGTAATACCCAGTGGGGATACACATCACCTAGCAAAGTGCATTTGAGTTTGATCCCACTTATTCTTGCATTTATGGGTTATGGTAGTGGCTTTCCTGTGCCAGTTTCTGGGGATCACACCTATCTACTTCACATACCATACTGGTCCTTTCTTTCTTGGTATTCTAAGCTTTCCTCAGTGAGCCTGAAGCAGTAAAACATTTTGGGGTTTTTCTCTGTTCAGAGTTTACCTTCTCAGGTCTTTTGCTGACAGCAGCGATTTCATTGATTGGGAGAGCAGATGTGTTGCTGGCAAAGACACAGTGATCTGGAGCCACCTGCAGGGAAAACACTCAACAATGTGCCAAGAGTGACACCTGGCCCAGCCCACCCTCCCCACAACAGCACACCACACATTTATGGGTCACCTCAGTGCTTCTTGCTGGGGAATGTCCTGACCTTGTTCTCTTTCCAATTCAGCCTTCCTCTAGTTTGGTCTATCATAAGGGCAGCTAATCCAGGCACTTGGTGAAACACCAGGCCTTAGTAAACACGGAAAAGATGGAGCGGAATCATGTTGCATTTCAAAACCCAGCCTGGGTATCAACCCTGCTTCTTGTTTGGATGTGCCCTCAAGTCTGACAGCCTATGAGCCCCACAGCCCTACCCTTCACCTTTGAAGGAATGACCTGTACCATGTGTGCTTATCTCCTTCTATACAGCATTACTAAAAGGCAGTATACCACCATCATTACATCTATAGCCTGTGAATCGGACTATTAGCTTTCTCAGCCTAGGGAATAGCCTCCACTGCAGACTGTGGCAGCATTCTGTCTGTGATTCCAACTTATTGATGTGTTTTTTCAGATGTGAGGGTAAAAAACACAGAACGCACAAATCTGGGACAGGCCAAAGCAAAACGCCAGATACAAAAATCAAGGCTGAAAATACATTCAACACACTGAAAAACTGAGTATAAAATGCCATCAATTATGCTGGAGATAAGCTAAAGCAATGCATTCCTCCCTCCTGTACTTCCACACTGGGGTTTGAACACAGGGCCTCACACTTGCTGTTACTGCTCAAGCCACTGTGTCAGCTCTCCACACAGTTTTTCATTTTCTAAATACAGATCTGTTCTGGACTTTACTCTTCCTCCTCTTTGGAATGACTTTGTGGACTACTTCCTGGCTTCCACGATGTCACTAGTTTCAATAGAGGCATCTTAGGTGCTGTGTAAACATCTTTCTACCTGAAGCTGGTATTTCTCTCCTAATGTCTGCTAAGATTCCACGATTCCCTGCGTGCTTTCTCCTGGTTCTTCCCCTTGCCATACCACAGGCTCATACAGTCCCTGGTCTTTTTCCTGCTGTTTCCCTCCAGCTCTGCCTCTTCTCTCTGCAGCTTTTGTCTTCACCGGACCTGTCCTTAGCCACCTTCTCTATGATTCTTCTCTTTTCCTTGACCCTGGCTTCCTGGCTTCTAAAACGAACACACTTTTCTCCATTCTGAAGCTCTTCAATCCGGATTTCCTCAGGCTATATCCTGTCCTGGTCAGTTAAGTGCTCTTGGCTTCACCATGGCTTAGCCATGCCCTCCGAGCCCTGGGAACATCATCTGAGTCTCTAACTTGAGGAGCCATTTAGCACTGATGGGACACAAATCTACCAAGCTCTTCTGAATTTTCTGCCTAGAGAAAAAGACTCTGGATGTGTCTCCCATGGAGGATCTGCCCCCAGTGTGGCAACTTCTCTTTAGCTTCTAAACCTCCATAGGTCTGTCTTTAGCTGACCAGGGCTGTCCCCACATGGAAGGGCTTTGTCACAGTCAGCTGCTGCAGACACCAGCATATGGCCACATTAGGACCACTTCCTGCCACCATGCTTGGATCTCCTTTGTGTGGATCTTTCTTTTTGGCACCCACTTTTATGTGCTGGCTTTGTTCATGTTGTCACATCTCAAGAACTGGCTGTACAGCAGTTGGGAGCAGATCAAAGCATTTCCACAGAACAAGCATCTGAATCCTGCTCAGAGAAGCCATCTTACTGCCTTCCTCTGCTGTCTAGACCTGCAGAGTTTGCTCATGGCTTGAAGCCAACCAAAAAAATCCCAACACACCTGGATCTCCCATGTTTGGTGGCTGACCTCCCACAGGGGTAAGGCTAATGAATGCTGCACTTAGGGGAGTAAGCTACTACTTTTCTCCACTTAGGATTTACACTTGACCTTTCTAGCATATATAGTATACATGAGCTCACATAAACTTACGTTTGGAAATGAACAGTCCTGGACAAACAACTACAGTTGCCTTTCTTTTTCTTTATCCTTCTTTCTTTTCTTTTTTGTTTTATTTTATTTATTTATTCACTTATTTTAGTGGTATTCAGGGTTGATTAGGGCCTTGTGTTTGCTTTTAGTTATTCTTCACATAGCATCACACAATGGACCACGAGCATCCTGTTTATACTTCTTGTGTAGCTAGGAAGACAGGCACACACCAACATTCCCAGCTATTGGTTGAGAAGAGGTCTCAGTAACTTTTTTGTCCAGGCTGGCCTCAAACTATGAGCCTCCCAATCACTGCCTCCTGAGTAGCTGTGATTAACAGGCATGAGCCACCACACCTGGCTTTCTTCCTTTCTTTTTTCCCTCTCCTCCCCTCTATCCTTTCCTTCCTTCCTTTGTCCCTCCCTCCCTCCCTTCTTTCCTCCCTTCCTTACAGCAGGGTCTCACTACACAGCCCACTTTCAATCCTCCTTTCTTTGCCTCCTGAGTGCTGGGATTATAAGTATGCACCACCACACCTGGCAGAACCATGAATTTCCTATCATTCCTTTAAAAAAACCCTATCTTAGCTGGGTGCTGGTGGCTCAAACCTGTATTCCTAGCTACTTGAGAGACTACTGGGAGGATCTCTAAGTTCAACCTGGGCAAATAATTCCAGAGCAAAATAATGATAGCAAAATGGACTGGAGGTATTGCTCAAGAGGTAGAGAGCCTGCTTTGCAAGGGCTTCGAGCTTTAAACCCCAGTCCTGCCAAGAGCAAAACAAATACCCCTGCCCCAATGTCCTCTATTTACTCCTCTAGGATTCAAGCACAACAGATCCCTTACGTGCGTACCGCTTCTACTTCCTTTAGCACTTTATGCTTAATGTTAATGTCTTCAAAAACAGCTTCGATCACCATGTCGGCCTTTTCAAAACCCTGGTAATCAATCTGCCCAATCAAGTTGCTGAAAATGGTGTCCCTTTCAAATGATGTCAGCGCTTTCTTCTTCACTTTGTCATTCAATCTAGAAAAAACACGTTGCTGGTCAGAGGGGAGGAGGAGACCAGCACTGAGTGTCCAGGGATCGTCAGTTGCTATATGGTTTTCACCTCCTCTGCAAGGTGGTCTTTACTCACGTTCTAAGGGGCTGAGTTGCTCAAAGGGGCTCCGAGGGGCTCTGGTCAAACAGCTGGTTAAGGGAGGGCATCAACAGTCAAACACAGGCGGACCCCCAAATACACATGCTTTCTACTACAAAATGCCTCTAAATGTCTGACTTACATCGCTGTACCCCTCAGAAAACAGTTCAACTTGCCAAGAGGGGTAGCATAAGTAACTCAAGTTATAACTCTGCAATTCTTTACCTGCTCCAGGGGAAACAGCCACAGTGTGTCCTGCACCAAATGGTGTTACACTTGCCTGTGTATCTATCACTTTATGGTGTTCTCTAACTGTGATCTTTCTCCTCTCCCACCCCCAGGGCCTCTCCTGGGTAAGCCACATCACAGTCCAGCATCATAGTATTAATCCAGCTCTCACTTGGCCCCCAAAAACACAGTGCAATGATCACATGAAGCATGAATTCAAGCTTTCTCTTTTCCCACAAGGAGCTAGAAAGGATTCTTGTTGCTCAGTTAACTGAGTCATTTTTATCATCAGGGTAAAAGACTCTCTTAGCCACTTTCAGAATAACCAAGCGTTTTCCTCTAAATAAAAAATGAAATTAAACACCATTCATTAATTTCCTTAACCACCAAAAAATAAAAAATAAAAATCTAAAGCCACAGGTAAGTTCACAGAAGTATCCAATAAAGGTCTTCAAGCTTGGGTTCAAACCTCTTCATTTTTGACAACCATAATAGCAGCCGGCAGCGAAGAGACTTGTCACAGTGCAAAAGATTGTTAGTTGCTCTAATGAAACCAATGCTTCCAAGATGAAAAGGGAAACCCACACCCCAGCATTTCCAGTCTTTTACCAAAGCATGAAGTAAATGGCGCTAACATATCTACTAAGGAAGAAAAAAAAAATCTACTAAGAACATAAACAACAAAACACATTCTTTACTAGAAGAGGTCTTCCCTTCTGGACTCAAAGACTCCAATGCTAGAACAGTCTATGATACATACTACAAAAAGAAGTGAAAGAAGGTATTAGTGTTCTAAAAATCAAAGGAAACCTGGCTTAACTTTGGAGTATCCAGGTACTCATCATGTTCAGATAAAAGTAGTCTATGGTGGCAAAAAACCCAACCAAAACAAAACCACCAAAAAACCTCCTGGCAAAAACACCAAGCAGCTTACCCTTTGAACACTTGTTGCTGACCCCTGCCCAGCCCGGCTACTGTAGTATCTTTAAGTAGAGTCTTCAGCCCCTTATCCACAGAGACTTGGGCAATGCCGGCTCCCATCAGCCCTGCACCAAGAATAGCTAGATGCCTAAAAAGGAAGGAGGAAATGATTTTCATGAACTCTTACTCATTTCAATAACCATGGGAGATTGCCAAGTTAACATTCAATAAACCAACAAAAGCAGGCACAGCTGTAAGGTGCCTTCAATTATTTCTGTCCCTACAAATATAGCTTTAATTAATGATTGATTTATAAAATAAAATGCAAAAATCTATTGGGTCGAAAAGAACTGGTCTTCTCATGAAGGCAGAACTGCAGTAATTTTCAGTCATGCCTGGAGATCTGGAAGAACACAACTGGCCAGCCTAAGCTTAAGTCAACACGAGCACTTCTGCTTTCGAATGAAAGCCACCTGACTAACCTCTCTCCTTACCTGTTAGTGGCTTTACCATTTTCTAGTCATCTTTCTTTTCTCCTGAAATCTTTGTCTCTATTGCCCCTCATCTAGAGTGTTCAAGTCTCCCTGATGGTCACTTTGCTCCAGGCCTCACCTTCCCTCAAACTTTCCACACATGCACATCTCTGCTTTTTTCAAAACAAAACAAAAGGAAAAGCCCAAGTTTACAGCACTGTAGACCTGAGCTAGAGCTAAGTTAGAGGTGTAATGAGGAGTCAAGTTTCAGACTCGTGATCCTCCTGCCTCATCCTCTTTGCCATCAAAACCATCTAGTTTCATTCCTAACTGTTCTGAGATTATAATGTTCAGGAGTCATGTCAGCCTGGCAGCAGCAACCAAGTACAGCTTTGTAATAACACAGACTCATCTGTTGCCCTCTCCTTCCTTTTCCTACCCCCCACAACATTTAGTTCTAAGTTTCTAAATCTTTGATTCTTGGTGATTTCTGTCTTAACTGCAAATGCTTATTAAGGATATTTAATTCAAGTCTGAGAGTGTTCTGGTATAGTTTTCTTCTGCACTGTGGTTGTTTAGGGGAGAAGTTTCATAATTCAAAGTACTTTGATATTCATTTTTCTTTTCTCTTTTTGTATGAGCTTTTCTGGATGGTGCCTCTCCTTTTTTGTGTGTAATACATGCATAGAACAGTAAGAGCTATATGCACGCAGGAGTAGCAGTCTACAGTGGCTAACTAGGTCTCTCTTCCTCCCCCCTCCCCACTTTTTCCCTCCCCTCCCTCTCTCCCACTCTTTCTTTTTTGGCAGTACTGGGGTTTGAACTCAGGGCTTGAGCTTGGTAGGCGAGTGCTCTATCACTTGAGCCACACCCCCAGCTCTAACCAGGTTTCTAAATTTAAAGGTACTCTCTTCTGTACAAGGACCGTTTTGTTTTCTTCCCTTCCTCCTCCCTTCCTTTCTTTTTTGAGATTCTGAGAATCTAATCTAGGGCCCTGCACATGCTAGGCAAATACTCTTAACACTGAACTACTCCCCCAACCCTTGGTTTTTTTGAGTCAGGGTCTTGCTACATAGCCCAGGCTGGCCTCAAACTTGCCTCAGTCTCCTGAGTGCTGGGATTATAGGCATGCTCAGTGCTGAGTTTCTTTAATTGGCAACATTCTTTGTATACATGGAAGGATGGTGAGGAAAAGGATGAGGTGGGGTAGGGGTAGGAGCTGGTTGTCTTAAGAGTCTTGTGATTTTGTAGTACTTTCTTTTCTTTTTTTTATTTTTTATTGAAGCAGGGTCCTACTGTGAAGCTCTGGCGTCAAACTTGTGACTCCCCTACCTCAGCCTCCCAAGTGTTGTAAGAGTGCTAGGATTATAGGCCTGGCTTGCGGTACTCCTAGTATTTTTGTCTCTTGCTTCTTTTCTCTCCGCAAAAATAAAGGCCCCCTCTTAGAAGTTAGCCACACTCTTTGCTTTCTATTTATGCTATATGTGGGGAATAGGGCCTTGTTTTCTTGGTTAATATGTCTGATCTTTGTAGACTATGTGAAGAGATGCATATTTTAGCAGCCATCATTATTCTACTGCAACATGGGAGTAATTTATCCCACTCATTAAATGCAACGTACAGTCAATGTTAGGTGGAACAAGCAGTTGGGGCTGACAGCGATCACTAGATCGCTAGAGAAGGAGTTCAGGTTGTAGTTGAGATTATACTGGAAATCAGCTCTCCTAGCTAGAATCTTATCTACCTCACCCAGGCTTCTTATCCATTTTATTTTCTGTTTTGAGTTACAATCTCATCAAAGATCAGAGGATACAAAAAGCACTAACATTAACTCTTAAATCCCTCACAGTAATTCAGCTAGAAAAGGGTTTTTCACCTACCACGCCATTGATATTCTGGACTGGATAATTCTTATGGGGCTGTACTGTGCATTGTAGGATATTAACAGCACCTCTAGCCTCTAACCACTCGCTGTCAATAACATTCTTTCCTTCCCAGTTGTGACAACCGAAAATGTTCTTAGACACTCAGATGTTCCCAGGAGAGGGCAAAATTGCCCAAATTGAGAAGCACTGAGCTAGAAGGTGAGTGTAGAGACAATGTCAAACTTAAGATGCTAAAAGACTGCCATGCAGCAGAACACTGAAAAGGCTTCTGATGAGACAGACATGAAAGAGATGAGTACAGTGTCCGCTGCTTGTGTTTAAGCTCAAAGAAGAAGGAGACTTTAACAATTACAACGAGGCTTCCCATGTTTACTAGGAAGAAGTATATGTTCCAAGGTGGCATCTTATGCCAGAGGGAGAGGAAGACCACTGAACAGAGAAGAGTGCGTGTTAGGTTCAGGAAGGGGACACTCAGCCAGACTGCTAGGGGACATCAACATGAGACAAAAAGCTGTATAGGAGTCACTAGAAGGACCTAGAGAAAACTCAGGATAGGCAGAACTCTGAAAGCCAAAATATTCTTGGAAAAATTAGTAGGCTGTAATGTGCTCAAGACAGAAGAGGTAGAGGACAGGACCAAATGAAGACACCAATCTAGCTCTGTAGCTCTTCAAAGACATCTCTAAGCTCAGTACACAGTCAAATTCACAAGGGCTTCCCGGGCAGTTCAGCTTACTTAACATCATTCTGCGGAGCTCCGAACTTATTTTTCTTGCATAGGACCTGGCCATTGTAAAGTCCCATCAAGGCCTTAGATTCTCTGGACATTGCAAGCTCTCCAAATTTCTGAAAAGGAAAGGAAAATCAGGTGTCCAGTGCTGTGGATTCCTTCATTTTTCTCTGCAGAGAAGAGGTCATGCACACCATGCCTTGGTTCCTCAGGGCCCTCAGCAGGGCCTGTGTGGCATAAGTCTGTGTTTCTTTTTTTACTGTAGTGGACCGCTTTCTCACTACTGCTGTTAAAGTGCCTGGCTTGCAAATTCTTTACAGCAGAGGGCTGGTAACCTTTGTCAAAGAACTAGCCAAATGGGCCTTTACAACAGTTTCCAATCCCCTGCCTGGGTTAGAGCCTGAGAAGAGGCCCAGAGACACCAACTGCCTCAAAGTGGGAGAACTGGAACTTTAGTGGCTCACAGCATAAGATTAGAGTTGAATTTGACACAATGGGTTTGAATCCTGGGTTTGAACCATTTCCTTATTGTCACGCTTTCCTCACCCTCTAAATGGGAACAAATAATACCTACTTTGCAGTGCTATTGTAGGGATTAAATGGGAAGACTAGTAAAATGACTAGACTGTTAGTTATTATCAACAGTAGTACAGTGTACTGGTAAGATTACACGGCTACAAGTAACATTTCAAGGAAGGAGTCCCTTTAATTATGTTTTGCTGTGCCCTGACAGAACACGAAATGACATTCCACAGAAGCCCTGCTTTACTGATTTGATAGCATGCTCTACCCAATAGTCCAGTTGGTTTTCAAACCACGGGTAAAGACCCCTCAGTGGTCATGAATTTCATGGGCTGTGATAGCATTACATACACAAAAGATGAAGAGCAGCACAGCTGCCCCTTCTTGGTATGTGTTGGGGATTGGTTTCAGGATCCTGAGAATGCCAAATCCATGAGTGCTCAGATCTCGTGGTATAGTACTGCACATCCTTCTACATACTTTAAATTCTCTCTACAGTGCTTATAATACCTAACCAAGGCAAACACTAGGCAAATTTTCTTGTTATCCTGTATCGCCTAGAGAACAGTAACAAGAAAAAAGTCTCTATATATTCAGTACAGGTACATTATGTTTTTCCTAAATATTTTTGATTTCTGATTGGTTGGATTCCGGGACATAGGACCTGCAGATATAGAGGACTGACTGTATGTAGAAAATACTGAGTACAAAGTACACAGCGAGGGCAATTATTGACCTGTGAAAAGTATACTTCAATTGTTTTATACATATGTTATGTGTACCTGATTGTGTTTATTTTTTTTTTTATTATTCATATGTGCATACAAGCCTTGGGTCATTTCTCCCCCCTGCTCCCACCCCCCTGGTTGTGTTTAAAAAAATCAGAAATGTACAATAAATAATCCAGCATAGGAAATGTTTTTCTAGAACCAGTCCTGAGCTCTTCAGATATCTTTTGTCTTATTATCAAATTCTGTGATGACTGCTAAAAACTTAAAAACAACCCAAATCACCAATTTAAATCTGGAACATCACCAACTTGCTAGAAAAGCAAAAGGGGTGCCACTAGCTCACACACTCTTCCTGTCTGTCTTTTGCTGAGTACAAGAAGACACTTTTCATTTTCTGCAGTATTGTTTTTTTTTTTTTTTTTTGTGGTACTGGGGTTTGAACTCAGAACCTCCTATTTAGTAGGTAGGTGCTCTACCACTTGAGCCACACCTTTAGCCCTGAAACCTTTAATTTTCTAATTAACCAAAAAGAGGCTGGGCTTCAATGTTTCATTTCTAGGCCCTAACAAGTAAAAATATTTCTCTATCAATATATGCATTTTATCACAACAAAATCAGCCCAAGTGCAGTAGAAAACAATCCAAATGATTCATTTTAAAAAAATTATGAGAGGCTGGGGATATAGCTCAGTGGTGGAGCACTTGCCTAACTTGTGTAGGCCCTGGGTTCAATTCCTAGCACTGAAAAAAGAGAAAACAAAAAAGACAAAGTAAAAGAGCCAGATGTAGTAGCTCACTGTTATAATCCCAGCTACCTGGGAGGTGGACATCAGGATGATCTTGGTTTGAGGCCAGCCAGGGCAAAAAGTTAGTGAGACCCCATCTCAACCAATAGCTGGGAGTGGTGGCAAGCATCTATTACCCCAGCCACGTGGGGAAGCATAAATAGGAGGATTGTAGTCCAGGCTGGCCCAGGCAAAAATGCAAGACCCTATCCCCAAAATAACTAAAGCAAAAAAGGCCTGGAGACATGGCTCAAGTGACAGAGTGCCTGCCTTGCAAGCACAAGGTCCTGAGTTCAACCCCCAGTACTACCAAAAAAAGAATTATGATTCTGTGCCTGCTCTTCCTAGTTACAACCTCATTGTTGAGAACAAGTTCAAACATCTACAGACCACCATCTTTTTTTCAGCATTTACTTGTTCACTGGTATTAATCATAAGAAATAATATCCACTGGAAGAAAAAAAGGTTTGGGCCATATTTTTTCTGGCTTTAAACAGAGCATTGGGTCTTTAGTTTTCCTGTAACATATAATAAAAAGCTGGAAGGAAACTTTACCTGCGACTCAGCGAGATAACCAGCATCACTGCCTTGCTCGATTCCAGTCTTCACCACCTAAAAGACATAAAGCTCTTACTCAGTGTTGGGACAGATTAGTGAGAGATACAATAATGTGGAGTAAAATCCACGTTATTTTGTCTGCCCATTTTGTCTGCCTTCAAAGGTGGGTCACAGTCCAGACTGATAATAAAGAGTGGAGGCTTGAGTGCCTGGCTTCTCTAGACTGACTCAGGTCTTCATCTCTGAGTCTCCCGCTGCACCTAGAGGAAATGGGTGCAGAAGGAAAGACATCCTAAGTCACTCTTCTCATGTCCCTCCTGTCTCCAATGGTTGTCAGAGCCTCAGCTTCCACTTTCAGTAGCTTTCTCTCCCTATGTGCTCTTCCGCAGATGTGTCATCTAATTTATCAATTTAATCATGAACTCTAAGAAATTAAACTTCACATTTAGGGTAAGTGCTACCCTAAGTACAATGGCAAGTAAGAGACAAAACAACAGCAGCAAATGGGCAGGTGGGGTGGCTCAAGTGGTAGGGCATCTACTTAGTAAGCACAAGGCCCTGAGCCCAAACAAAGAAATGATCCTGAAACCAATCATCATAAGTTACAGGAATGACAAAACAACAGAAGAAATCTATGCTCCTTAACCCTCGCTTCTCCTCCTAAACTGCTATTGCTTGAATTTCCTGTAACATCTGAACTCAACACACATCTACACTTCACTCATAGTCTCTCTTCAGCAAATTCCTTGCTACCTTCTTATTTTTACTTTTCCTATCATATTTCAAATTTCAAGTGTCCATTATCAAGACACCTGGCTAAACTAAATGACTGCTCTGCATGGCGTTTCTTTCTAATCCAGCTTTACTACTATGAACATAAGACAAAGGGAAAATCTGTCAATTCATTCTATTATTGCCAGCCTTCTAAAATCTAGCTTCAATCTTCCTTTCTGCAGGCTGACACCTCACTATCCCCCTTTAAATGCTTCCACAACTGCTCACATGTCTACCCCATCTGGCATGACTTTCTCTTCATCTACCCTCCACTCATTTTTAAGGGCTTAGGTCAGATCCCATGAAGCTTGTCCTGATCTCTCTGGCACAGTGACTGTTCCCTCCTCTGTGCACTTGGCCATCTCCCTGTCCTGATTATCTGGTGTTTATCTTATGCTGCCATTTATTTCTTATCTGGCCATCCACCTTACCACATATGTATGTCTAATCTCCCCAGCCCACTCTGTGAGATGAACAGAGGTAGGGGAATGATGTTTCTTATTTTATATTTATTTACTTACGTATCTATTGACTGATTGATTGCAGTGATAGGAATGAATCCAAGGCCTTGCACAAGCTAAGCAAGCACTCCACCATCTATCTATACCCCCAACCCATGTCTTCTGCTCAAAATATATTTGTTGACTGATTCATTCTCCAATTCTGAAGTCTTTGAATATATGCTTTCTCTCTCTCTCTTTTTTTTTTTTTTTGGTGGTACTGGGGTTTGAACTCAGGGCCTAATGCTTGCTAGGCAGGTGCTCTATCATTTGAGCCATTCCACCAGACATTTTTGTGTTGAGCATTTTCAAGATAGGTCTCTTGAACTATTTGCCCAGGGGGGCTTCGAACAATGATCCTCTTGATCTGTGCCTTCTGAGTAGCTAGGATTATAGGCATGAGCCGCAGCGCCAGGCTTACATGCTCTCCTAATCCTGAACTTTCTTGACCAAAGAGTTCTAAGTGTTAAAGTCTACCATTTGAGAGGTTTCTTCAACTCTGTGACCATATTATTTTATTTATTAATTTACTGGTTATTTATTTTGCAGTACTAGGGATTGAACCCAAGGCATCACATTTGCTAGGCAAGTGCTCTACCACTTGAGCTACGGCCCCCAGCCCTTTTGATTTTTCAATTTTGTTTTAAGACAGATCTCGCTAACCTTGCCTAGACTGTCCTGGAACTTGCAATCCTCCTGCCTTTGCCTCCTGAGTAGCTGGATTACAGCAGGCACCACATGCCTGGCCCTGTGGCCACCTTAATTATCTTCCTTAATCTTTTTCATAACTGTTCTACATCATTACTTTTTCTTAATAAACACAGCAAGGAATTTTAGGTACTGACAATGGTTTTGACTAAGGATAGAATAGAGTCATCAGTTTTGTCTCAACTACCTTTTTTTTTCCTTTTCTGTGCCTGGGCTTCATGCAAGCTGGGCAAGCATTCTATCACTGAGCCACACCTCTTGCCTCAACTACCTTTAAATTAATGCCCAGAATTTTACTTCCCTTGTTATACTGATATGACTTAGGTTCTTTTCCTCTCTCTCTTTTTTTTTACAGTGCTGACATTTGAACTCAGGACCTGGTGCATACAGACAAGCACTCTACCACTGAGCTATACCCCAGCCCCCTTTTCCTCTTTTCTTACTGAAAACTTAAACTCATCAATGAGTATGTCTAGCACTGTTTTTTCCCCAATGTGTCATCTTATATGAATCCTTAAAGCTTGCTATGATATTTCCTTATTTTGGTAAGTACTTTAATAGCAGAATTAACAATTAAGGACTATAGGCCAGGCTCAGTGGCTCACACCTCCCAGCTATTAGGGAGGCAGAAATTGGGAGGACTGTGGTTTGAGGCCAGTCTGGGCAAAAAGTTAGTGAGAGCCCATCTTACCAAATAAGCCAGGTTAGTGGTACACACCTATGATCCTAGCTACCGGGAAGCCCTAGGTAGGATGATGGCAGTCCAAGGCCAGCTCTGGGCAAAAACTTGAGGCCTTATTCAAAAAATAACTGAAGGAGAAAAGATCTGGAGTCATGGCTCAGGTGGTACAGCACCTGCTTACTAATCACAAAGCCTTGGGGTTTGGAAACCCTAGTACCACCAAAAAGAAAAAAGAAAAGAAAAGAAAAATGGTACTGACATACGTGGTTCAGAATAGCAAAGAGAGTATTGCTTGGGATCAGGGGAGGAAGTATGAGAAAGGCTGGGGAAGACTCACATCGATGATTTTCAGAGGTGCAGGATAAAGGCCTTTGGTCTGCTTTTGTACTCTTTGTTCCACCGTTTTGTAAATTTGTTGTCTGACAAATGGAATAGTCATGGCGTACGATGTGAGTTCTGTAAGGTAAAATAACTTTTAGATACTCACTGGAAAGAGTCTAGATTGTTAGCTCATTTTGTTAACTCCATAAAAATGCAGTCATTCTAGCTGTCAGAGAACTGCTATTTACTCTGATGCACACTCTAAATGCACTAACTGCACTGCTTACACATACTTAATTACTCGATGATTGTTCAGGCTGACCTTGGGCGCTTGCATGTTTGTTACACTGTTACAGTGTTCTACTTTTGTATAAATGTTTGAAATTTTCCAAACTAACAAGATTTTAAAAAATGGTTTTGACTGGCCAGTGGAAGGTTGAGGACTTAACCCTAGAACAGAGTTGTGACATCCTTAAGGGTGATCTTACACTTAAGAGTAAGCAATTCATCCTGAATTGCAAATAAACATAGCTGCCCAGGAAAGTACCTCTGTGCTGGCTCTTTAACGTGACACTCACTTTCCACCAGTCCCTTGTTTCTTTTTGTAGAGATCTTCTTATCTGCGAGTCCTTTGGCAATAGTAACCGCAACTTCTTCTAGATACTCAATCGTCCGTTCCTCTGGGGGTTTTATTCCTGGCCCTGTGATAAAACGATTACAACACACTGGAATGCAAGTCAGGCTTAGACATTCCCAGCGATGGAGGCAAGTCAAAGCCAAAGGCTCCAGCACAGTTCTCCATTCCAGCCCAGAGACTGCAGGTGGCCGAGTCGTGAACTACAGGCTCCAAGAGGGGACATAACGCTGAGCAAAGGTGCAATGATGAGTCGTAGGCAGAAAACAACCTCTTACGCCCTGTCAGTCCACCTCCCGCAGTGCTAGACATACTCATAGATGTAGGGTGTCTTGTGCGGTCTGTACCCTTTTAAAATAAATTTATTAGGATACCTTCTATTATACAGAGGGGATTCATATGACAATTCTGATTAGACTTATATTGTACATTTATATCGCCCTACAGTCTCTCCCCCTTTGCCCCTCCCCACCCCAGTGCAGTCTGCACTCTTGCTGCAGGAGTGGAAAAAAATGAGGAAGCTGGAAAATCATTTGTAAAAACACTGGGAGCCATGGAAGCACGAGGACTATGTGCACTACAACTGCAGAGAGGGAAGAACCTATCTTAGGTGAGGCCAACACTGACTGCTGGCCATTTTCTTTTTGGAGCATGGGCTGAAAACTGGACTTGGTTCAAGCCGAAGGATGCTAATAAGGGAAGTGAAACCACCAGACTTTCTATGTTGCATACAACAGCTGAGAAGCTAGAGGAAGCCAAGTGCACAGCCAGTTTTCCCATGGAACATTTTTGGAGTTCTAAGGTGGTGCCAGAGACTTAACGGTTGAGTCAGAAAGACAGAGTGGAATCTCTCACAGTATCATAATGTTTAGTAAACAAAGTACCTCTACCTATGCAGAAGGAATGATCAGGAAACTGGAATACATGGCATTAGAAATGGCCAGAATGGAAGCACAATGAAAACAAACAACCCAGAACCTCATTTTCACTGGACAATATCAAATGATTTAATAGGGGACCTTTTTTTTTAACCAGAAATTTTACAAGCCACAACATAATGGACCCATCTATAAAGTACCAAAATAAAAACACAGGCAATCTATAATTCTATACCCAGCAAAAATACCCTTGAAAAATGAAGTTGTAATAAAACTTTGTTAGACAACAAAAAAACTGAGAGAATTGCCAGTTGGCCTACATTACAGAAAAAGCTAAAGGCAATTCTTCAGGTTCAAAGACAACAAACCAGAAGGGAATCTGGATTTATAAAAAAATAAAAAGTGTCCAGAAATGGTTACATATGAAGGTAAATATTTTTAAAAAAATACCACTTTCTCATTTAAAAAAATTCTTTAAAAGATAACCATCTAAAACATGTCACATACAGAAGCAAACTGTTTAACAACAAAAGCATAAAGGATGAGGCAGAATGCAAGTGAATTCTTTTAAGGTTTCACACTATATGTGAAACGATAGGTCATTTGCAGAGAGACTGTGGTATGTTTAAGCTACATGCTGAAAGCCTGAGAACAACCATTAAAAGGGAAAATGAAAAGGGCCAGTAGTGAAGGTAAAAAATGATAAACCCAAAACAGAGCAGGAAGAAGAAAGGAGTGAAGAAAGATGGGACAAATAGGAAACAAGTAGCATTAAATAAAATTGTTGTGTACTTTGGAGGAAGATATCAAAAGACTTAAAAGAAACCGAAATGCTAGACTGAATTTATCACCTAGGACCTACTTAGCTACCCTCCAAGGATTAGGGCACACCTTTCATCACTGCTTGGAGAAATCAGTTTCAGAGGGTGGGTGTGCCTAGCACCCTTGAAAGGCTCTGCTTGCTATTCTCAGTAGGTCATTAATTAGAGTGGGAACTGCTACCATCAACAGGGATCCCTAAATACAATGGGGACAATGAGATCCCAGGGAGGAAGGGGCCAAGTAACAGCACTGACTGCCAAATCAAGGTGGGTTTGGTTGCTGTCACAGGTACTGGAACCAAGCAGTAACCAGAACTGTCTGATTTGTGGATATCTCTGGCTTTGGCTAGTTGATCAAGGTGTCCCTAGAAAAGAAATAGACTACTAAATTCTTACTTGCTTTATATAAGCAGAATTCTAGGTTTAGCAAACTGAAGTTTAACTTGAATCAAGAAAGGTTCAGGCCCTTCAACTAATTCTCAAAAATGAGCCAGTTCACAGAGCCAGAACCTTTTGAATAAAGGGGAGACTGCATTCCCTGCCTTTTTCCTAGGCTTCCCAAAGGCACCTATGGTCACTTGTGTTGGGAACAGGACATAATCAAACTTTTGGGGGAAGACTTTATACTAGCTCTGAAGTAATTCCAGCAGATACAAACATCACTGTGGTCCATCAGAGTATGAGCTTCTGATGTCAAGTAATCACTGGGGTTTAAGCTCAGATCTTTCAGTGAGCCTAGTGGGTTCCCGTGCCCATCCTGTGATGATCCTTCCAGTTCTGGAATGTGTAAGTGGAATGGACATACTCAGCAACTAGCAGTGTCCCCATGTTAGTCCTTGACTTGTGGAATAAGGGCTCTTGTGATGGGAAAGGCCATGTGGAAGCCACTACAATTGCCTCCGCCTAGAAAACAGAAAACTAAAAGTAACACTATACAATGCTGGGTCTGTTGGGTGCCACAACGAGGATCTGAAAGTAGCATGGATGGTGATTTCCACATGTCCCCATTTAACTTGTTCATTTTTGTTTTGGGTTTTTGAGAAAGGGCCTCACAATGTAGTCTAGGCTGGCCCTGAACTTGCTATGTAGCCCAGCCTGGCCTCAAACTCACAATCCTCCTCAGCCTCAGCCTCCCAAGTACTGGGAATACAGATCTGTATCACCATGCCTGGCTTCAACTTGCTTATTTTGCCCTGAGTAGAATGCAGATGGATTTGGTAGAATGATAATGGATTGTTGCAAATGTAAACCAGATAGGGATGCATAGCAGCTGGCATTCCACATGTGGCTTGACTGCTAGAGCAAATGGACATCCTCCTTGTACCCGGTTACGGCTGCTGATCTGGCAAGGGCTTTTTCACTTGATATTTGTTCATTTTCACCTGGCAAGACCTGCAATGCACTTTCACTGTCATACCCTAGGGACATACATCACAACCTAGTTCACAGGGACACTGTCGGCCTTTCCCTCCCACAGGACATCATGCCGGCTCATTATATTGATGATATTACACTGAATCAGGATCAGTGATCCTGGTGAGAGGGAAGTACCAACTGCTTTAGACATATTGGTAAGACATTTGTGTGTCAGAAGGTGGGAAATAAATTCCTCAACTATTTGGAGCTTTATTCTTTTGTGAAATTTCTAGGGATCCAGTGGTACAGGGCACATCAAGATATCCCTACTAAGGTGAAGAATAAGTTTGTGCATCTGGCCCTCCTACGACTAAAAAAACAGGTACCACACCTGGTTGGCCACTTTGGATTCTGAGACAACAAAGCAGTCATTTGGATGTGTTACTCTAGTCCATTTACTAAGAAACTAAAAAAAAAGCTACTAAGTTTGGTAGGCATGGTGGCACACACCTGTAATCCCAGCACTTGGGAGGCTGAGGTAGGAGGATCGTTAGTTTGAGGTCAGCCTAGAATACATAGTGAGACTCTGATTCAAAAACCAAAGCAACAATAACAGCAGCTGCTAGGTTGTGTGCAGCCTAGGATGAGAGACACTCTCCTGACATTTGGATCCTATGATTTAAACCTGATGCACTTAAAGTGTCAGTGCAGAGTTATGTGTGGAGTCAGTGCAGGATCCTATGAGTGGTCACAGTATGGATCTGTAGGATTTTTGGGAAAGAACTACCATCCTCTGTGAATAATTACTCTCTTTTTGGGAAACAGTTTTTGGTTTGTTAGTGAGTCTCAGTACAAAGTCAAAGCTTAGCAACAGGCCATCAAGTTACCAGGTGACCTAAGCTGCCCATCACGGAATGGATATCCTCATATCCACTAGGCCATTAGGCTGGGGGTGCACAGCAGACTCCATTACCAAGTGGAAGTGATATACAGGAGATGGCTTGAACCAACTCTGCAGGCAAAAATTGTATGAGGAAGGGCCCAAAATGTCCTTGGCCCATCCTTCTCCTCTCCCCTCACCTGCACCTGTGGCCTCATGAGGAGCTCTCTACAAGTTGACTAGGGAGGAGAAAACTTGGGCCAGTCTGTAGATAGTTCTATGCCATATGCAGGTTCCTCCTGGAAGTGGACAGCTGCCATACCACAGTCCTTTTCTGAGCCATTTCTGAAGGACAGTGGTAAAGGGATAGGCTCCTAGTGGGTAGAACTTCAGCAGTACACCTGGTTGTTCATTTTGCCTGAGGAAAAAAAAGGCCAGAGGTATGAGTCTACACTAATTCATAGGCTGTGGCCAAAGGTTTGGAAGGTCGGAAAATTAGAAGGAAGCTGGATATGAAACTGTGACCAGATGTTGTACACTGAATTGTGCCTCTCAAAAGTCAGATGTTGAATCCCTAGTCCCAGTATCTCAGAATGTGACTATATTAGAAGATTAAGCTTCTAAAGAGGTGATTAAGACTAGAGGTATGGCTCAAGTGGTAGCATGCCTGCTTTGCAAGTGTGAGGCACTGAATTCAAGCCCCAGTACTGCTGCACTCCCTCCCCTGCCACAAAAAAAAAAAAAAGAGGTGATTAAATTAAAAAAGAGACTATTAGGGTGAGCCCTAATCCAATCTGACTAGTATGCTTCTAAGAAGAAAACTGGGCATACAAAAGATACCAGGATGTGTGTGAACAGGAAAGTCCATGTGAAAACATGGCAAGAAGGCAGTTATCTGCAAGTCAAACAAGGAAGCCTCAGAAGAAATGAAACCTGTTAACACCTAATCTTAGATTTCTAGCTTTAGAACTATGGGAAATAAGTCCATTTGTGGACTCATGGAAGCCTTACCCACTATCGTGGCATTCCACACAGAATTGGTTCTGATTGAGAAACTCACTTCCCAGTAAGTGAAGTGCAGCAACAGTCCACGAAACACCGGTTCACCATGTACCCCATCATCACAAAGCGGCTGGCTTCACAGGATGGTGGCATGGACGCTTGATGGCTCAGTTGCAGTGCCAGTTAAGTGGCACTACTTTGCAGGGCTAGGTCAGTGCCCTCCAGGATTCTGTGCAAAAGTCAGCCTCTAATACATATCGCCATTTCTTCCACAGCCAGGACTCATGAACCCAGGAACTTGTACTATGATGACCTGTAATTAGTCAGCCAAAAACTCCAACAACCAAATTCACACAGGACTACCAGTGGCCAAGTCTTTAAGGGCTGAAGATCACTCCAGCAGGCAAAGAACCATTACCAGCTGGGGTACTTCCTGAGAGCCAAGGGCAGACAGCACGAGTAGTGGAACTACTGTCCTTCTCCACACTTGGGGGGCAGCCAGCACACTGCCATCCCTAAAGGAGGTGCAGTCAAGGACACAGGTCTCCTGAGCTGGCTATGCTCTCACACATATTTCTATTCCCAGCCCAGACACTTTCATCCTCTTTTATATGGGGACCTTACCTGAGGCCTCCTTAGTCCTGGTTCACCTTCCTCCCTTCCCCCAGGGTCATAAAGCTACAGGAGCCTTTTCAGGGCTTCCTCACCAGTGAGATGACCCCCACGAATGTATTAGCCCACTGATCCTCTGTCCACTAGGAGAATGGAATAGGGAGGAGCTGGTGCTTTCTTTAGTTTTAGCCTTTTGCATAAAGTTATGGAAGTAAATGCATAAAGGACTCACTGTTACTTTCATTTAGCTTGTGGCTTCAATCAGTTACTCTGCCACTTCACAGCTCAGCCCTCCCTCTATATCAGCTGAGCTGATAGAAAGAAGCACTGAAATGGTCGTATTACTTTCTTATTTGGTTATACATGTTTACATGTAATTAGCCAAATAACTTGTGTTTTCTTCTCTCTCTTATCTCCTTATCACCTAACATAAGACATATGATAGTAACAGTGGTCACATTGTGTAGTATGAGAGAAGAGTAAATTTACCCAAAGACTTTGTATCCTCTTCTGGGGAAAAGATCGGTGTGTTTTTGGTTGTAGGCAGAGCAGTTGCATTACATCAGGTTGAAGTAAGACTGAGTTTGTTAAAAGTCTTAATTGGGGATTAAGTATAGTTTAAGAGGGCATGCATGGGTGTCATGTTAATAAGGGATGGACTGTGCTAGTCATCTGATGTGTCAACTTGGTCAGACCACTACTCCCAGTTTTTTAATAAATGCTAATCACTGCTATGAAGGTATTTTATAAATGGCATTAAAGACCACAATTGGCAGAGTAACTGATTGAAGCCACAAGCTAAATGAAAGTTATCAGAAATAAAACAGGAGACATAATTAGAGCATAAAAATATTAAAATGATGAAGAGCCTGAATAGCTCTATTAAGAAAATGTAACTGATAGGTAAAAACTTTCCTTGTAAAGAAGATGCCAATCTCATATGTTAATTCTATCAGGCAATTAGGTAAGAAGTAATGCCAATTCTATACAAACTCTTCCAGAGAAAAAGGGACTACTTCCCAACTTGTTTTATGAGGCCCTGATACCAACACAAGGCAATAAATAAATAAATAAATAACTGTAAGAAAATAAAATTATCCCTGAAACCATTAGCCCTCAAAACTAGAGAAAAAAAGTCATTTTAACTGATCAAGTCAGCAATTTGTAACAAGGACAACACATCATGTCCAAGTAGTTTATTCCAGAACCAAAAGCCTTGTTCAACAAAGTCAGCATAATTGACATTACCAATAGAATAAAAAAGAAAATAAATAAGCCACACTATTATCTCAGTAGATGCAGAAAAGGCACTTGACAAAATTTAGCATCCATTCTTGGCAAATTATAAATAAAAGGTAACTTCTTCAACCTGATAACTGGCATATCTGAAAAATCTAGAGCTGACATGGTACTTAATGGTGAATGCTTTCCCCTAACTGGGAGCAAGTTAATATCTGTTTTCAAATTTCTATCCAATACTGCAAAAGTCTTAGACCTTGCAGTAAATAAGAAAAAGAAAGCCAGGCACTGGTGGCTCACACCTATAATCCTAGCTACTCGGGAGGCAGAAATCAGGAGGATCGTGGTTCAAAGGCAGCCCAGGCAAATAGTTCCTCGAGGCCCTATCATGAAAATCCCAAAACAAAAATAGGGCTGGTGGAGTGGCTCAAGGTGAAGGCCCTGAGGTCAAGCCCCAGTATTGCAAAACAAAAAAACAAAACAAAACAACAAAAGAAACAGCATTCAGATTGGAAAGGAAGATGCTCAGCTGACTCTCTGTAGACAGCATGATTATCTATGTGAAAAATCTTAGAAGTCTACAAAACAGCTACTAGAACCAAAAATGCATTCAGCAAAATCACAGGATATAAGGTATACCCAAAACCATTATATTTCTATATACTAGTAATTAATGAGAAACTAAAATACAAAGTATTATGTCCTAAAAGCCATGAAATACCTAGGAAAAAGTTTAACAAAATACATGTAAGAGCTGTTCACTGACAGACTGACAGATAGAAAACACTGCTGAGAAATTAAAGATTTAAATAAACAGCTAGCTCTGATGAAATGATATTTTAAAGATGTCAGGTCTCCTCAAATCGATATACTGATGCAGTGTAATCCTGATCAAAGCTTTGGTATGTATTTTTGTAGATATGGACAAAAATTGTATTCAAAGTAAAGAAATTATTACAAACCAAATATTTTTGAATGAACACAACCAAGTCAGAGGATTATAATGCCTGACTTCCATATTTATTAAAAAAATACAGCGATCAATATAACGTGTGCTTGCTTTGGCAGCATATACTAAAACTGGAATGATCTAGAGATTAGCATGGCCCCTGTTCAAGGATGGCATGCAAATTCGTGAAGCATTTCATATTTTTTTATTAAAAAAAGACAACATAATATTGGTTTAAAAAACACAGACAACTGGAAATAGGAAATTCAGATTACAGACCCAAACAGATAGGGTCAATTGATTTTTGGCCAAGATGTCAAAACAGTTTGCTAGGGAAAGAAGAGTCTTCTTAACAAACAGAGTCAGAACATTTGTAGACAACATCTATACAAGTTAACTTGAAATGAATGACAAACCAAAATGTTAAGAGCTAAAACTGGAATGCTTTCAGAAGCAAGCAGAGGAGAAGATCTTTGTGATTTGAGTTAGAATAAGATTCTTAGAGCCAGGTGTGGTGGCACACGGACCTGCAATCCCAGGTAGGTAGAGACAGGAGGATCACAAGTTCAAGGCTAGCATGAGCTACACAGTGAGTTCTAGGACAGCCCAGACTATATAGTGAGACCCTGCTTCAAAATAAAACAAACAAACAAATCTATCTTACATACCACACCAAACAGCATGATCCACAGAAGAGCAACTTGCTAAACTGGATTTCATCAAAATTAGGAATTTTTTAAAAATAATTTTTAGACAATGAAAGGTCATAAACTGGGAGAAAATATCTGCAAATTCCTAAATTTTTGCCTAGGCTAGCTTTGAACTGTGCTCCTCCCCATCTCTGCCTCCCCAGTAGCTGGGATTGCAGATGTGAGCCACCTCACCCAGCCCTTTTATAAAGAACACATTTTTTTTGTATGTGTACTAGGGTTTGAACTCAGGGCCTTGCACTTTCCAGGCAAGCACTCTACCACTCAAGCCATGCCTCTAGCCCTGCAATGTGCTATTTTTTGATTGTGGTGGTATTTACATAACTATATTTGTCAAAACTCAAACTGCACATGACAATTGGTAAATTTACTATTATGTAAGTATGACCTTTGTGATGCTGATTATTAAGCTGTATAGAGGGTGATGGAGCACACAATTCAGGACAGTAGTCTCTATTTCTAATGAAATGTTATGAGGAAAAGCAGCACCCACAAAAGCAGATGTCAATTACGGCTATCAGTCTCAGGTTGGGGGTTTCATGTGTTTATTATATTACTAAAACACAAGAAAACTGAAGGAGACTTATACATGGATAATGATACAGGTAATTTAAAAATAAGAGATAATGACTTGATTGAATTCTGTATTCCTGATATCCAAATGATAAATAAAATAAAATGGGAACAGTATGAAGTTGAAAATGATTTGGTATTAGCTCTTTTTATCACTCTTCAAAAAATTATGACTTATTTGTTAAAATTTCACTCTAACCAAAATTTAAAAGATAAATTCTAAGAAAAAAAGTAACTTGAAGAGGCCCAACTCTAAAACATGCTACCACTTACCCAGGGGCTCCACCAATTGGTCAACCAGTCCCATTTTTTTTGCTCTGTCAGCACGGATGTTTCTACCAGTCAGCATCATGTCAAAAGCAGCAGGTATACCCACCTACCATGCAAGCAAGAGTCACAACATGGGGGAAATGAGGGTGACAATTAGAGCTTATAAATCATCCAATGAGCAAACACTAAAAGGAGAAAAGTCAGACCAGACTTTTATACATCCTATCAGTAAGTTAAAATTTACATACTGAGACTAGATGCCCCCAGCTGAAATAAAAATGTCTTTCTCTCTTCTTTTAAATTCACTAGGACTGAATTTTTAAATTCAGTAGGGTTTCCATCATATGGAATTGATGAGGTGGAGAATTAATTTCATGTTAAAAATTATACACTTATGTCATTCTGAATTTGTTCTCTCTTATTTACATAATGTTTAAATTTTCTATATTGGACCAATAGTGGAGACTGAGAAACATGACAGTTTTGACAAAGTCAAAGAGAAGTTCAGGCTTAACAAAAAAATGTAACTCAGCTTATGTGGGGTATTGGAAAACAACTAGCAACATTCAAATTTTTTATAGCTAAAAAATAAAAAGGAACTCAGAAAATATTTTCTACACATATTCACTGCTTCAAGAAACCCTTTCTTGGCACCCCTCCAATTCTGGGGGGCTCAATTCTCCCATTTTATACTTTTCTATCTCTGCTTTACACTTAAAAAAAATCCTTTTGACATTCTTACGAAGAAATACACATTATTTATCATTAAAAGACTTGACACCGCAAACCTTCCCCTTCCCCATTTTCTGTGCTCAGTTCCTATCACTTCTCTGCAGAGCATCTCCGCTGAGCCTGCTTCCACTGCGGAAACAAGGAAGATGCGCAGGTCAGTGACCCCTCACACTTGGGATTAAAGTTACCCTGCAGCTCCCACGTGTGGCTCTCCTGTTCTTTTGGACCTACTAAATACAGTGAGGAGATGCTCCAAATCAGGCAATGAAGGAAAAGGCCTGCCTTATATTTATCATGAACTAGGGCCCATGGCTTTGAAAAGCTATTAAGATGGTAGGTATAGTGCAAGCCAGGTGCCAGTGGCACACACCTGTAATCCTAGCTACTCAGGAGGTAAAGATCAGGAGGAATGCAGTTTGAAGCCAACCCCGGGAAATAGCTCACGAGACCCTATCTCGAAAACCCTTCCAAAAATAGAGCTGGTCAAAGTGGCTCAAATGGTAGAGCACCTGCTTAGCAAGCCCTGAGTTTAAAACTCAATACCACACCAAAAAAAAGATGGTATAGCGCAAAGAAAGAACAAAAAGCTCTGGAAAAGCAAGACATATATATTATTTATCTTTATCCTTCAGGGACTAACAAAGTAATTAGTCAATAATTTTGTGGAAATGAAAAAAATATTAGGAATAAAATTTGTAACTGACCCTTAATCCTTACAATCTGTCTGGTTTCTAAATTCTACAGTGAATGTCTGTATTACACATGTTGTACAAGAGGTAACAGATCTGAAAAGCATTTATGTACTGAGGGGCCAAGTTCACAGGGTTGGGCAATCTTAGACTCACCATTTTAGGCAGCCTTTGGGTGCCTCCAGCTCCTGGTAAGATCCCCAGCAGGACTTCAGGGACACCTAATACTGTTTTTCTGTCTTTTGTTGCTACTCTGTATTGACATGAAATGGCAAGCTTCAAACAAATGAAAGAGAATTAGAATGTTTGAAAATGTAACTTTGTAACATTCAGGATCTGTGCAGGAGTGTGTAAAGATTGATAAAGCAGGAAAATGCCCACACAGAATAAGTTGAAATTCCCTAGGCTGGCATTTGATACTTTCTACAGTTTATCTTTTGAGACCCTTTTCAAACTTTCCCCCTAATTTTTCATCCTTTGGGTTGCAGGTATCCTAAAAAATCTGCTGTATGGGAACTAGCAATGGAAAAATGCAAGTCAGGCATGGTGGGGCACACCTGTAGACACAGCTACGTGAGAGACTGAGGCAGGAGGAATGCTTGAGCCCATAAAAAGTTTGAGACCATCACAGACAACATAGCAAGACCTGCTTCTCAAAAACAAAAGCAAAAAAGCAACAATAACACCTCACAAATTTTAGCCAAGTACAGCTGTATTCTCAGCTACTTGGGAGGCTGAGGCAGGACGACTGTGTATTCTCATTCAGCCTGGACAACATAGCAAGACCTCATTTCAGAAAAACAAAAACAAAACCCCTACAATTAATCTTATATGGAGCCCAGGTTAAGAAATCCTATACTCTACAGCAATCAGGCAGATCTACTTAAAGTTTCCTAATAGGCTTTGCTTATTCTTGCCCTTGTTCATACTGTACTAGATGTGGAATGCTCTTTCAATCATTTTCTGTTTACTCAAAGTCTACCCACCTTTTAGGATAAGGCCCAGGTTTCCTTAATGAATTAATATATATACAAGTGTCCAGTATAGAACCCTGCAAGATAAATGCTCAATAAACGCTCTTTTTTCCCCCTCCTTCTTTTGCTACATGTTCCATTGTGGTAAGAATCTCTGCTCTCCAGCCTTTTATTATTTACCATCTTTACTCCTCACAAAAAAAACCTTAAACACATATATTATACTTTGTGAGTCTCAACTTAAGAACATGACATAGGCCACACTGAATCTTTACCCTGCAAACTTAACTACAATGACCTTTGAGATCCAGTTCAAATCTTCTCAATTTATAAATGAAAACATCACATCTGGTTCACTTGTTCTGTGCCACATGGATTAAGGATTAAAATCTACTCAGATGTTTGATAGCTAAAAAGAAAACTGATTCTCCTCTGAAACCTTTTTTCAGGCACAATGATAGCCTAAAGAGTCACAGCTGGTGAGTCCCACCAACAAGCTAACCAGTGTCTGAATGACTGTGCAATACAATGCATCTGTACCTCAAGTCCTCCTCCCAAGCAGGATCCACTGATGGCAGCCACAATAGGCTTTGTGGACTTTTCAAGTTTCCCAAACAATCTCTGTCCTTCCTGTGATATTTGTGTTCCTTCCTGATGGGTCTTACAAGAGGCCAACATGCTGTAGTAAACCATGAAAGTGAAGAACAGAAAAGAAGGAAAGATGAAACTGTAGCCTTTGTTTAATACTTCACCTGCCATATACTTATCCCATCACATATCAGTAATGACTCTTCAAATAGAAAATGAGACAAAACACGTTATACAATTTATTTTGGCTTCTATAACAAATCATTAGATTACAAAGCTCTGTAACGTAAGAATTTCATCTAGTAAGTACTTTCATTAGATGGCTGCCAGATTAAACAGCAAAATGATAGGGAAAAAAAGCTTTTGAGTTATTTAGAGGGATCTAAAACTTTTTAATAGATCCCCTGTGAGTAAAGAAGTTCTCATACAGTAATGTATCAATGTCCTTTAATTTTAGTAATTGATGAGCTGCTTTGTTTCTGAACACATCTAAATGTGGATTTTGTTCTTTTGACCGAAGATAACTAGTATTTTCTGTCATTTTATACACTTAGAAATACTAGCTAGACTTATAGAAGCTGCACGTATTTTCCTATAGATATAGGTATCTACTGCCAGGTACATTAGTGTCTCTCTAGGCTCAAATAATTGAGCTAGAAGAAAAAGTACTTGATAAAATTTTTTTCCCTAAAAAATAAGCATTAAGCAGAACATTTGTAAATTCTAATTATTATACATAAGCAAAAAAAGATGTAAATTGTGGAGCAAAGTTTAAAAATACACAAACGTAGGTACAAATTACTAACCTACAATTCTGGTTACCATTGCCTAAAATACAAACAACAAATACCCTTACTTTAACAGAATTAACAATTGTTAACAAGTAACCTATTTAGTAACACTAAAGTATCATTTCCCAGCCCAGCGCCTGTGGCTCATGTGACAGTAATTCTAGCTACTCAGGAGGCAGGATCAGAAGGGTTGCAGTTTGAGCTAATCTGGGCAAATAGTTTGTGAGACCCTACCTCGAAAAAACAACACACAAAAAACAGGGTTGGTGGATTGGCTCAAGTGGTAGAACGCCTGCCTAGCAAACCCTAGTCCTACCAAAAAAATAAACTAAAATGTCATTTCCCTTCCTTCTACACTTTAAAAAATTGCAACAACTTATATACAACCATACATTATGTTATTTAAAAAAGGGAAAGAAAATACTGGTTGTATCTGTGAGTTTGCTTTGACAAGATTAGGGCCTACCACTTTTTTCATTTTCTCTGAAGCAACCATTTCCATGTTCGTAGTGTATCCTTCCAGACCAACTCTTAAGTTTGTATCCAGACTTGCTTTGTTTAAACTTAATTATGTTTTTTAGTTCTAAGGTTATGAATCTAGTGAATTCCCATGAACTACTTTGTAGCATTCTCCCTATCTACTTCCCTGCTAACATTATGCTTCTTTCAAATGCTTCATAATTTTAAGTTTAAAACATCCTTGTACACTGGTCCTATGACCAATGGGTGAGATTTCTTCAGCATATACGCCTTGAGGAAGAAGTGTGGCGGGACCAGATGGGCATTTTCAATTTTAATAAGTGCTGTCAAATTGCTCTCCCAAGTGGCATTCCTGAAAGTTACAGATTAGCGATTGCATTTCCCAGGTCCTTGCAACCACATATTTGCAAACATTTAAATGTCTGTGGTCTGCTGGGTAAAAAAGAGGTACCTAGTTAACTTTATAGTACTAATCAGTGAACTTTATCTATTTTCATTCTGTTCAAAAAAAATTGCTTTCAACTTCTTTTCTTTTTTTTTTTTTTTGCGGTACCAGGGTTTGAACTCAGGGCATACACCTTGAGCCACTCCACCAGCCGATGTTTGTGATGGGGTTTTTTGAGATAGGGTCTCATGAACTATTTGCCTGGGCTGGCTCTGAACCTCAATCCACCTGATCTCTGCCTCCTGAGTAGCTAGGATTACAGGCATGAGTCACTGGTGCCTGGCTGTGCTTTCAACTGTAAGAAAAGGCTACATGTAGTCTGACATTATTTAGGTAAGCAACAAGCCCCTCTGTATCATCAGCTTTATTATATTCATGAAAATAAATATCTTTAAAAAACAAACTTTTGGAGAACTTCCTTTTACTTTCTTTTAAAGGAGGAATTATTAGATCTGAGAAGCATTCTACCAAACAAGGTAAAAGTTGACTTCAAGATTCCTACCACTTACTTGATATCGGCACCTGCAACAAAGCAGCCTGGCTTGGACGAGATGAGGACAGCACTTCTGATTAGGTCATTAGCCCAGATCTCATTCATTACATCTTCAAACTCTGACTGTACTTTTTCATTCAGTATATTTACCTGCCGAGGGGAAATAGAGGAGAACAAAAAGTTGAAATTGGAAGTGCCAGATGTACACTATTCACTGTCAAATGCTATTTTGATTATAGGGAATATGTTTATCCAGTAGAAATATACTGCTCAAAGCAAGAAAAAACAAACAAATAAAAAGCAAACCCAGTAGTTTTCTGTTTGGGTAGCTTTAAACAACTACTAGTGCCCTCCCCTTAAAGATAGGCCTCTGCAGTCAGTTGTGGTGGTGCATGCCTGCAATCCAAGCACTTGGCATGTACAGGCAGGAGGAAACAGCAAGTTCCAGGCCAGCCTGGCCTACATAGTGGGACTGTCTCAAAAACAAACACCAAAAATGAATCTACTCAACAGGAGAACTTGAGGTCATATTCCTAAGAATCTGAATCATACATAGCATATAAATAAGTCTATACATTTATTGGCTTGGAAAAAAAATCTGTACACTACAGAAAAAAAATCAAAATTAGATAGTCTGATTTTCATTTGGTAAATATTATTTATTGAAACTGGATTAGATTATCTTTGGGCTTAGATTATGAATGATGATTATATTCCTCATTATAATTTTTTATCTAAAAATTTCCCGCCATTGGCACATATTATTTTTATGTTCAGGGAAAACACTCAACTTGAAAAAATTCTGAAAAAAAAATCTTAGGCCTGAATCATTAGTTAGTAAATTCTAAGATTATTCTAGTGAAAGGAATGGCTCCTTATGTCCTTAATTTGTAATAGCTGTCAACTATTTTCATCTAAATCCTGCTATTTTATCTAGGCCTCTGGTTACAAATTTTTTTTTTTTTGGTGGTACTGGGATTTGAACTCAGGGCCTCATACTTGTTAGGCAGGTGCTCTACTAGTTGAGTCAGTCTGCCAGCCCTTTTTTGTGTTGGGTATTTTCGAGATAGGTCTCAAGAACTATTTGCCCTGGCTGGCTTCAAACCTCAATCCTCCTGATTTCTGCTTCCTAAGAAGCAAGGATCATAGGCATAAGTTACTGGCACCCAGCCTGGTTACAAAATTTTTAAAGTATGAAACCTAAACCAATTTGAGATGGGCTCCTGACATAAAGCTCTTCTTGGCAAAAGACTAGAGTAATGCTACATGCTTTGTTGAAGTTGCCTAACACAAACCAAGTCCACTTTGAAAAGAGTTTGATTTCCAGTAAGTCATTCAGATCTCTCAGGAAGCTTAAGAGCCGAGTGTCCACATTCACTGGCCAACTCAGAATGAATAATAACTTATGTCAGGCAGGTAATTATGAAAGTGAATTTAATAACCTCATATTTAAGATGGACAGATGAGTTTCAATTCTCATAAACAAAGATTATACTTTAACCCTTACACTGTAATACAAGGCTAGTCGTATTTATCCTTGATATAAATCTGACACCTACAGTCAACAAGAAGGAATTCCTACACAATTCTTACTCTGCTTCAGAAAGTGCCCTCATTGGGCAATCTGTCAAACTTCAATTTAACTATCAAAATTATAAATTTATGCTGCAGGATTACTGCCAGATTGGTGTTTTTTTCCCTATTCAAAACTGGATTCATAAATGCAGATAATAGAAACCAACTGAAGAAAGTTACATTAGGTACCTTTGAATTGGGTGAGTTAATTCGAACAACTGCGACATCCCCTTTGATTCCATAGTTAATATGCGTTCTGGCTAAAAGGAGAAGGAAAATTTATTTGCATACATATTTATTACAAAGTAAATCCAAAAAACAATATAAATATGTTAAACTTACTTAACAGAGCAGAAGACGCTGTAAAGTTACGGCAAATACAACCTGCAAGGAGAGGGTATTTCAAAATTATTTTGCAAAACAGAATTTATATAATTTCTGTTAGATATACTAAAGCTGGAATTTACAACAAAACCCCCCAAATCAAAATAACATTTTGCAGACCATTACTGTGACCACTTCCATATCTTTTTCCAATCAATTATCGGATCATATGATTATTCAGGTAGTAAATAATACAGGTAGAAGAATGCCCCTCCAACGATGTCATATACCCAGAACCTGTGAATGTGTTAGGTTATATGGCAAAGGACTGAAGCTGCAAATGGAATTAAGGCTGCCAGTCAGTTGACCTTACCAGGAGAGGATCACAGATTATCCAAGTGGGATTAGTGTAATCACAAAAGGGAAGAGGAAGGCAGAGAGAATCAGAGAGATGGCAGCGTGAAAATGACTTGCTGCTGAAGAGGGAAGCCCATGAGCAACAAATCAAGACTGCAGGTAGCTTCTGGGAGACAGAAAACATAAGGTAATAGGTTTTCCCTTAGAGCACCTAGAAGGAACAAAGCTCTGCTAACACCTCTGATGCTAGCTTGGTGAGATCCCTTTTGCACTTCTGACCTCTGTAACTGTAAAATAAATTTTTATTGTTTTATACTCTAACTTTGTGGTAATTTGTTACAGCAGCAATAGGAAACTAATACACTAAACAACAGTAACTTCAAAATAATCCAGAATATCACTTCCAAATATATTCTGACTATGTTTTCCAGCCACAGTCTTGTAATTTTTCTGGAAAGATGGCTTTCTAGTGTTATCAAAAGTGAAATCAGGGTTGGGGATGTGGTTCAAGTGGTAGAACACCTGCCTAGCAGGTGTAGAGGCCTGAGTTCAAACCCTGGTACCACCAGAAAAAAGTAAAATTAAAGGCCAACAGAGGCTACTATAAAAGAAACCTTCCACATTACACTTTGCGATTTTGAGGATTTCTAACTGAAAATGTCTATACTGCACTCCACCAAGAATATTCCTACTCTCTGGGGAACAAAGACTGGCTCGTCTCCTCTTTCCTATTCACTTCACTAATTTAGGTGCCCCAGCAGCGATCAGCTGAGGGTTGGGAATGTGGATCAGTAGAGCACTTGCCTAGAATGTGTGAGGCCCTGGGTTCTAGTCCTAGCACTGCAAGGGAAAAAAAAAAAGCCTAAAGACCAGCTTAACATGACTCTAGCTATCTTGGTGGTAACTGCTGTTTTACTTCAGGTCATCCTGGCAAGTATCCCAAACCTCACAGGACAAACGAAGTCCTTAAGATAGTCATCTGAGGGTGTCCTGCTGGTCATTGGTACCCAACTTTTCTTTCCTTTTTTTTTTTTTTTGTGGTACTGGGGTTTGAAGTCAGGGTCTTGGGCTTGTTGGGCAGGGTCTACCACTTGAGCCATACCCCAGCCCCAACCATACTGTTTCTTAACTGATGCTGGACATATTAATAGTTTTTGAGAAAGGCCAGGTACATTCTGCTTGGCTGTGCCTCAGCTTTGTCTGTCTTAGCATATAATCCTCTTCCTCCTACCTTGGGGTGGGGAGATCCCACTTTCTTGTGGCAGTCCAAGTGTGCTTTTGTCAATTAAGTCCCTAGAAAATTGCACTTTGTGTAATCCTGAACCTGTCTGAAGACCGAAGACCTCTTTCTTCAGTCTTATGGCCCCTTCTGCCTTTAGAAGCGAGTGCTCATAACCCAGGACTGTTTTCCCCTAACAACAATGATGATATGATTTTTGGAGCATGAGTCATCACAGGAAAAGCCCCAGTGGGGCTTCAGAGACAGTCAGAAACATTGAGTAATTCCAGGTAAAGATTCCAAATTTGTTGTGAGCATCACTCTACATTTTTTTAACCATTAAATGTTCACTTTTAGCCTGCTCTCATCCAAATACCTTGCTCTCAGCGCTCTGCAAACAGCCCAGAGTTAACATCCCTAATTACAACTTAGTCTCTTGTCTTTTATTCGTGGTTCACCTCAAACCATTTCTCCCATGGACCTCATTGATTCTGTACCATTTTTTCCTGCCCACATCTTCCAAAACTTGCCCAATTATCTTAGAAAAATGTTCTCTTTTCTTGGTTCTAAAAATGAAATCAAAGCATCCTTTAACTGACTAGGTGTACACATGAAACACCTGTACCAGCAAATGGCAGAAATGTTGTTAAGGTAACATCAAATGTAATACAGAACTAGTGCTTTACAATAACCAATGGTTCCGTCATGCATCTCTTCTAATTATACTGCCTTTTCCCAAGTATGTTATCTAATGATTAGTATTAAAATTTTTTTTAATTTCTAATATTCATTGAAATACATAGCATTCAGGCTTTATTAGTGGCTATACTGTTTTCAAATTCATAAACACATTTTTGGAGAGTGTACAGTGCCTACCTAATACAGGGATGCTGGTTTAAAAAAAAAGGTTAAAATCCCTAACAGCTTCTCAGTGGTTGTACCTCTCACTACTCTGTGACCATGTGTCTTTCTCTGTATCTACTCTCCCATTGGCTACATCCCTTTCCTTTACCTGGTTCAGAAGTTGAGAGCTATCAAGCAAGAGTTGAGGAGTTTTTTCCCCTGGCTTACAATGATAATTCAATCAAACCATTTTGGTTTCGTGGATATTTTCAATACAATTTTAGTTGGATGTGGTGGTACATACCTGTAACCCTAGTGGTCTGGAGGCTGAGGTGGGAGGACTGGGAGTTTGAGGCCAACCTGTGGTACATAGCAAGACCGTGTCTCAAACAAACAAAAATACAACAAAAAGGCAAGGAAAGGCAAGTGTGTGAATGCAAAAATGAGCCCTGTTGAAACTGTTCCAGGAATCCGAGGAGAGGGGACAAAGGAGAGCAGTGGAGGGGTGAATCAAGTGTGATATATTTGATGCATTGTAAGAACCTTTGTAAATGCCACAGTGTACCCCCACCCAGCACAACAATAAAGGAAAAAAAATAAAAGAAAGAAAGAAAACTGTGTAGCTGGCATCAGAATCCGAGTAGGGTGATCTTAGGTTCTGTCTGCATTTGTTTTTAAAGTAATCTCAGTCAGTCATCTTAGTACAAAGAAGAAAGGACTTAGGCTCAGTCATCAGGCTTATTTACTAGTTGTGTGACGGTGGAAAAGACTCTTGGTGCATTTCAGTATTTATGACAAGAGAAGCTAGTTATCACCTCAACCCCCAGTGCCTCTCCTTCACTCATGACGTACTTTCCTTCTTGGCTTCTCCACCATTTGAAATCTGCCTGACCTGTACTGAACACTCTTCCTTCTCTGTATTTGCAGCATGGCTCCATCCTTTCCCACAAAACCTCATCTTCAGATTTCAACTACAACAATCTTTCCCTTCCTGGCCTGCATTTTGATCTTTATTACTCACTGTTTTATTTTCTTAATTGTTGTGCCTGTGGCAGGTGTTTTGCCAACAAAGGTAGAATCTCCTCCAACATCATTCCACAGTCATCAATCGATAAAAAAATTTCTTGTGTCCTGACACCATTCTAGGCACTTAGAGTGAACAAAAAAATGTCAAAAATCCCTATCTTGGTGGACCTTACACTCCAGGGTAGCAAGGGATGTAATGTCTGTGGAGGATCAGTTCCTACTCATTAGAGAGAGATGAGAGATGAAAATGAATCTGGCATCAAAAGGAGTTTGTATGTAAAGTAGAAATTCTAGTGAGAAGGGAAGGAGGAAATAAGTAACTTTAACTAGAACAGGGTAATATATATTGGAGTGGGAATGCAGGTTTAGAGGGATGAGGTGGAAAGACAGACAAAACCAAGAAACACAAATATGTAAATAAGAATGAAATAGAAGCTGGGTGCCAGTGGCTCATGCCTGTAATCCTAGCTATTCAGGAGGCACAGATCAGGAAGATCATGGTTCGAAACCAGCCTGGGCAAATTGTTCTCAAGACCCTATCTCAAAAAAACCCTTCACAAAAACAGGGCTGGTGGAGTGGCTCAAGGTGAAGGCCCTGAGTTCAAGCCCCAGTACTGCAAAAAAAAAAAAAAAAAAAGACAAATGATTAAAAAAAATGTAGGTGTAATCATGGATTATAATTTTATTTCATTTTGAGCCACAGTCTCTTTATGTAGCCCAGGCTGGCCTTGAACTCCAGATCTGCCTCAGTCCTGGAGTGCTGGGATTACCATGCTTGGTGCTGAAGATTGGTGCTCATTAGCCTACCTCATTTTAGTCTCTTAGACATTTTAACTCTAGCCCAACTAGCCTATCTTTGTTGCAAACACATACACAAAACCTCTTCTAAATCAATAAAGACAAAAAGCAAAGAGAAAATCAGTAAATGTACAAACATATTTATAAAAGAATTCTAAAACACAGTCAACTAAATCAAGTCGAAGTACAAGGTAACTTTGCTTTTGGAATCCAGCCTTATCCAATGCCTAAGGGAAAAGCTTACTCTATAGCAGCCATGTGAACTTTAGCCTACTTCTACTGTGCCAGCAAAAGAGAAACCTTTGTCCTACTTTTTATCATCTTTGTATGTAACTCCAGAAACCACCTACAAGGCCACATAAAACATCAGTGGAAAGAGCTGGAATGTGCTGAAACAATTTTAAATTGGAAAAATGTTACTTTGGTTACAGCAATCAACAGCTTTTTTTCAAAATTCAATCTGGAAGAGGGAATGGGATTAAGGAGGTGAGAGTCAAATTAAAAAATACTACATTGGGCTGGTGGAGTGCCTCAAGCAGTATAGTGCCTGCCTACCAGGCACAAGGCCCCGAGTTCAATCCTCAGTTCTGCAAAGACCAACCAAACAAAAAAATTACATCCACCTACTAAAGCATTTGTCTTTAATTCATTTCTGGAGAAATTACTTACCACTTACATGATTAGGAACTTGGATTTAGGAGGAGTGGGGATTAGATATTATGGTTAAGATGTAATTTTTATTTTACCAGTCATATTCAGAATTATAGCACCTATAGAGCAGGAATGCTCTAAAAGAACTACATATCACTTTCAAGGA